TCTGTCAGAGTAATCAAAGTTTATTGTATTATTAATCATTGAAGAGATAATGATGCTGCACAGAAAAAGTGATACCAGCAAATGATATGTGCTGCTTGCTCTGCTGTATGGTACATTCATGACTGGCATCTCTTCTAACAGCGTTGTGTTTGTGTGTGCCATGTGGAAGAGGTAGGCAGGTTGCTGCTTATATTGAGCGAGGCATGTAGTTGGTGCGCCAACCGAGAGCCCTATTAAAAGGTGTGCAGAATATGCCTGCTTGGCATACCACTACAGTGGTAATGGTGCCGACCGAATATGCCCTTTTACATATAAACTGATGTTTAGCTATGACCCCTTTGTAGTAATTTATCTAAAACATGTTTTGCCTCTAGCTAGCAAAACTAAATAATCTCATATTTCTATTTGCTTAAAGGACGCCAGGATATTGCTTCCACATCATGGGTTTGATCCATGCGTTGGATCGCATCTCATTTTACACGAGTGCCTTCTGAATAAAATTCAGCCGTCTTTGTTTGCGAACCAGTGTCTGCTAGCTAACATCGGATAGTCCCTTACGCTGGCGGAAACAAAAAAGGTTTTGTTGGTCTTTGATGGTTTCAGCTGTGAGTGTGGTCTTCCACACTGTTTAATCTAAGTCTGAAATTTCACCTCTGCAGCTTTTGGCTACAGAAAAATGAAGAATACGACACCTGCCTGTAAACTCTGAGGATATCTTCTGTCAGACCTGCAGGTTCCCTATGCACACTGTTTTTGGGAATTTCCCTTGTTTTGAAAGCTTGTCTGGCCTCCCACGCCTAGTTACTGTTGCTAACATAGGGTTGGACGTCGGCCGTTCTCCTAGCAAAGGGTCAAAAGTTGTGGCAATGGTAGTCTCCAGAGAGGATGTTCGAATAAATTCCTCCATTAATTTTCTATTCCAGCACGAGTAGCTAGTGTCATGGCAGAACGTGACAAAAGTTATTTCTCAAACTGAGTAAGTTAAAGAGATTGCATCACTCTGCGAGACACATGAGCTGTGACGTTCTTGTGGTCTAGAAATAGGTTCTCAAGAAGCTGGATTTCCTATTTTTCTTGACTTACAAATTTCTGTCGCTGGTCTCAGAGACTGACTGTCTGTGACAATTGTTTTAAATACATAGAACCCGGCTAAGCAGAAATACACATGTCTGCAGCGTGGAACAGCTGAGGTGGAGAGGTTCCTGTAGCAGCAGGTCAGACAGCAAAGAGCCCTTCTGGCCTGGAGGTCAGCTGCCCTGGACACAGACCAGCACACTTGGCAAAATGCAGCTCTGCTGCATGACACCACAACTTCTACTCCGGTTTAGGTGTTTCAACCAAGTACATTAAAGGTAGTGCAAAAAGTGACTTAAGTTATCAAGGCCAGGTGATGATGTGAATCTATTACCTTGAAAGTTATTGCAGAATGCTGTCTTATTGGAAAAAGCCCCACTGTTTTTGATGATATGTAAAAATAAAAGTCAAGAGATTAAGGCTGTAGCTGACTGTAGTTGGTGAGCATGCTTTTAGGAGAAACAAACCCAAAGTACTGGTCCTTTTCACTGTATTCCTCCTGCAGGGGAGCCCTGTCACACCAGAAGAGAGTTCTCATTCTGTGCATGTCAGCCCAGAAAGCAGATCAAAAAATATCTGATATCTGCAGGAAGCTCAGAAAAATCCTTGTCATATGCAAAGATGTTACATCAGACATTTGCAGCTTGGCCCTGGTCATTTACACAGCCATAGCTCAGCCCATCTGCTGGGAATAGAGATGACTCTTAAGTACGTAAAGCTGCCATAAGCCTCTGTTTCCTATTGTAAGCTGTTTTAAAGGGTCCTGTGGTTTGGCACCATCTGTTTTTACTCATTATTTATATATTTAATATTTTTCTTCCCTCTCCTCCCTGGCATGGCCTGACTTGTGAGAGACATGCTTGTAGTCTGTGTTCATGTGGGAGGCGGATGACGCTACAGCAGCTCTCTGCTCCACCCCCCAGACCGATCACGTGTCTGCCTCCCACAGGCTTCCACTCCTCTTTATTGCCTCCTCTCCTCCACTCTGTATTTTCTACTTTCTTTCATGTACACAAGCTTCTGACTTCTCTCTGGTGTTGGCCGCAGTGCGAGCGTGAAGTTGAAACCTTGTGTACAAAAAACAACAACAACCACATATTCACTATAGTGTGTGTGAGATCACCCACAGGTGTTGTTGAAGTTTCAGTTTAGTTTTCCCCATTTTCCATGTTAAGTAAAATGCATCTGTTCTCTCATATAACGTACTGTAGGTAGTCACATCAGTTAGCTTCATTACATCTTTGAGGTTTGCTCAAATGATCAGAAGCTTATGCACCTACTTATCTAACCACATCACATGTACAGCTGTGTTTTGCTTCCTCTGCTTTCAACTCAGAATTTAACCGTTAAAGTACAACGTTCCTGTGTGCCAGAAGTTTTTTTCAGTTTATCTAACGTCATACCTTGTTATTTTATAATTCTCATTCATTTTCCACTCTCCTCTTTGTACTCATTCATAGCTACATTCACGTATCCCGTATCAAAATGATTCAAAGGGACGACATGACAAAAGGGACTGAAAATGTCAAAGCCTACTCCAAGATGACATGTGTGAACTTCAGTAAATTAGGTGAACCTGACTGATACTGTTAATAGTTCCCAAAGTGGCTTCTTAGTAAAGACCCACCACTGCGTTTCCATTTCAACATGTTTTAATGAGAGCTGAAGTGATAGTTTCACAATAGATTGATGCAGCACAACAAATATACTAAAATAACAGAAAACCTCCGTGAAAAATTACGTCTAGTGCTACTCTACACAATTGGACATGGGATAAATTTTAGATAAACAAACACAATAAATAATAATAAAAAATGACTTCTCTCTTGCCAGCCTTTGTCTTTGTCTTTGCCTGTATAGAAATGCAACTCCGTCCCGCAGATGACAAACTGTTGGCTCAGGTGGTCAGAATATAGCTACTGGAGGTATAAAACTTAATATAGCTTGTTGACGAGCAACAGGGGCTGCAAGGTGGAGCGGTGGTTAGCATCGTTGCCTCACAGCAAGAAGGTCGCCGGTTCGCATCCCGTTGTGGACACCCGGGATCTTTCTGTGTGGAATCTCCATGTTCTCCCCGTGCAGCGTGGGTTCTCTGCGGGTTCTCCAGCTTCCTCCCACAAGTCCTGATGCTGAGGTTAATTGGTGATTGTAAATTGTCCGTAGGTGTGAATGTGAGTGTGCTTGGTTGTCTGTCTCTAAGTGTAGCCCTGTGATAGACTGGTTACCTGTCCAGGTGAACCTGCCTTCACCCTGAGTCAGCTGGGATAGACTCCAGCCCCCCATGACCCTAGTGAGGATTAAGGTGTAGAGATGATGGATGGATGGATAAACAACAGAATTAGAGAGTTAGTTCTCCTTGTTTTGATGATATAATACTATTTTGTTAACTATTGTTGTCTGATTATCCCCCTACATTTAGGAGCCTTGATTAGGAGCTATGTGGGCAGTATTATAGCACACAGGTATCAGTGCAGCAAAGTTGGTCAGGTTTTTGTTTTCTGCTTTGCTAAACCATTGCTTGAAGAAGCCCTAAACAAAAACTGCCGAGTGGTTGACATAAAAGGATGGGAAGTCCCTCGGCGTGCTAAACATGGTTCATGTTTGGTGTTCGCACCAGCAGAGAAGATGCCTGTAATTAAAGGTCTAATGTAGTGAATGTAGAAGCTTAACAGCTTTTTAGTTTTCCGTTTATATTATTTAATATAGTACTTTGGAATTAGTTGTACATCGGAAACAACTTTAAATCTAAAGCTTATTACGAGCACCTTTTAAGAATTTGCTAGGCTAAGTATAGTTTCATATTTATGTATGTAGAGCAGCAGCAGGTTGAACACAGAGAGCTCAGATAGGCTGCAAGTCATTGTTGCTCAGTTTAAAGTGCCAGTTGTTTATCTTTTATTTGATTACTTGTTTTGTCTATAAAATGTCTTGAGCTGGTAATAAACGCCTCCTTTAATTTTCCACAGCACAAAACAAAGTCATATTATGTTTGACTGTCCAAACTCATAAAGATATTCATTTTATTGTCGTGCATAATTGTCATTTCAGCTGTGTCTCACTGTCCTACTTCCATGATTTACCTTTACAATAGCTGGTTTATTCTTGACTTCCAGTGGAGGTGTATCATATGTGTGGTTGTTTCCGAGTACAGTTTTTCATTACCAGTTTGACAAAGCAGAAAGTGCACATTTTGGGACCCATGTAAGAACCTTGCTGGTGTGTGAACAGGGGCCTGCACACTGATAACATGGACAAGGGCTTTAGCGGAGGCTATTGAAGATTAAGAAAAGGAATTAAGTTGGGTGTGTGTGTGTTTGTTCTATCTGCTTCACGTTTGTCTATAATGCCCTTGTCATCATGAGAGTGGGGTTAATCAGATTACATTTTAGGTTGTAATGCTGGAGCTAGTGATATAATGAACAATATGTTCTGGTGGGTTGATTATCAGCCATGTCATCACAAAAGCCTGCTGTACACCAGCTGGAAGTGCTCTTTATCCTCTCACATCCCACAAGTCTGACCCGGGACTTAATTAAAGTTCTATTAGGCATTAAAATAAGTAAATCATTGTGCTGTAGGTATTTGAGTTAACTGCAGGCCGAGGTAATCATGGAGGTGTGTTTGCGAGGCTGTCACCCACCCACTACTTCCTCCCCTCAGAATAAGTCAGACGACATTTATGCTTTTGTGGTGTTAGTCTATAATTTCCATACACCGTGTGAAAAACACAAGAGTATCGATGATTCAAAATTACTTAAATTATACTTGAGCTTTTTCAACATTTAAATAAATCGCTTTCATGCATTTACAACGAGGTGAACAACCAGCATGTCGCTGTACATAATGACTGCACGTATTGTGTCAGCTGATTTGTGTGCGATGTAATATTTAACACTCTCCTTCCCCTCTTCTCTCCTCTCTTTCAGGAACCTATAAAGTCCAGGGCGCCACAGCTCCATTTGGAGTATAGATTTTACAAACAGTTGGGAAATTCAGGTAAGAGAATCTGTAAATGATGAGTCTCTAATAAACAGCACTGTGACGATGAGCTCAGTGTGAATGGGCATTTCACACTACTATATATTATATTGTTTACATGTGAAGATGGCTTCCTCTCAGATTTATTTCTCACCAGTTTGATAGAGATGTTAAGAAAATGTAACGATATTATTGTCGCATTAGTTTTATTTTATTTTTGTTGTTAAAGGGTTAGTTTAATGAAGAGTGTGTGGATGAATGGCAGGTTGTGGATCCATCTACATTAACTCTATTGTAACAAATCTGTTTTATGTTAGTATACTAATGAACTATGAATGAATACTACATTTAAATATTTTTAAGTCGCTGGTTTAGTTTCTGTGCAGCTGTTGTTCACTCAGATTTTCATGTTGATGGTATGATTTATTTTTTTTAAGCGTTCCTCTGTAGTTATTCACTCTGAACACTGTTTATTGTGAAAAGTTCAGTTTTCCTCTTTGCATTGGAACATAAGACCTCTGCTTTCTACTCAGGAAAACAGACACACGAACACAGCGAAACAGTCTGTTCAGCTTGAAGCTACACTTCGCTGTACATGTTCGTTTATCTCTCCACATCTGTGGGACCCAGTGGATGCTGTCAAAAGCTGCTTCCTTTTTCTAATCCCATCTCTAAGTCTTTTCTCTCCCTACAACACTGTCCAGAACATGTTAATGTGCTATGATGCATAGCCGTGGCTCGGGGGCAGCAGCTCTTTGATCTGGCCCGGCTGGTTGGCCAGTTAGAGAGGATGAGCGAGGCGGCAGAGTCAGGCGGTTGGTAGGATCTGGGACTGGATGTGTTTCACAGCAATGCCTGGATGGTCGGCTGTTTGGAAAAGGCTCACCTGCCTCGGTGATGTTGCCGTCTCATAACATTCAATCATTTATTCAGAAATCATATGCAAACATGCCACCACCACTTAGTCCAGTTGACCGGGCCTAAAGGTCCAGATGAGAGATCCGTGCAGTCTCCCACTCCTGCTGCTTTTTGTCCTACAACCGGCCACTCCCACATGTGCATAGCAGTTATTTTTTGTCCCCGATCAGACCAAGTCATCTATAATTCAGAATATGCGATATCCAGTCCCAATTTACATTTTATTACATCATTTACCATAAAGTAGGCTTCCTGGCTCTATTGTAGTCTGCATATGAGGCATGTTTTGCTTTTGGACCGTGGTTATGTCAGTGGGGAAACGGCACGAAGTTGGCGTTTTATTAGACAGGGCTGGTGGTTTTATTAAGTGATCATTCTGTTTGTGGCACTGTTGAATAGTGTTGCACTACAGTGACAGGCCACCCTATTCATATCAACGTATGTAGACAAACAGACAATACATTCAAAACATTCAACTTAACTCTGTGTAATGCACGACGATATCACAAACTACATCCTCCCGAGAGATCATGGAGTTCAATCAGTGCCACTCTGAAACTCCAAAACTAAGCCTTATAGCCTTAATGCAGCTAAGACTGAAAACTCATGTGCTGTGTAGTTATGCAGATATTTGTGTTTGTTGTTCTGAAAATATGGCCAGTGTGTGTGGTCCTCCTTTAGCAGTGCTTCTTCCCTGTCAGTCAGCTAAAGTGCATGTGTCCTGGTCTAATTTAGTGACACGTGCCAGCTTCTTGGCTCCTTGTGCCACAGCAGAAGCCCTCCACTGTTGATAAGGAGGTGGGGCATTAGGGCAGTCCTTGACTATTTATAGCTGGCCCTCTACAAGCATACGGGCCATTATGGTGTCTACTTGGATAGCTTCCCTAGGCTCCCTCGTCACAGTATCCTCTGCCTCACTGATTGAATGTGTGGTGCCTGCAAGTTCCAGGGAAACACTCTAACGTGCTTTGCTGACAGGGCGTGGCCTGTTTTTCTTGATAGCTGTTATTGTATTAAGCTGTCATCCTGATCTGTCTGCTAATCTTGCCCAGTGCATGCACACACATAAGCCCAACAGTAAGCGTAATTGTCATCTCCTGTGCCATTACCCCTGATTGTTGCAGAGGATTCCTCCAGTTCAGGCTTGTCCCGCTCTCCCTTTGGTTGTTTCCTCCGGTGCATTAAACACATCCTGGCCATCCCTTCTTCCGTTGAGACCACAGTTGGCCGATAGCTTTTCTTTTACTAAGATCTACAGTAATATTACATGGTAATGTTTTTTTTTAATCCATACACAGAACAAGAAGTGTGCATAGTTTATTACACTGCTCTTAATGTGATTTTTGTCAGTTGTATGCGGTTAGCCTCTTCACTTGCTATGAATTTCCTGTTGAAATGAAAGGCAACAGTGAAATTAAGCAACAGGACAAATTCAGAAGATGAGACTGAATCGTGGTTCCTAAGAGCCATATTACAGACTAAATAATCCTTATGACACTCCAGTGATATCACTACAGAAGCATGTATTATCTCTAAAACACTAATATAGTAACAGTAGTTTCACATGTCCTTTGTTTTTGACTGAAATAACCGGTGAGATGTCACTGCTTTCAGACAGCATTAGAAAATGTTTAGTTTCAGCAGATGTGGCCACAGTGTGACCGGCAAACAGTGTGCGTAAATCAGCGAGACGGTGGTGAATGTCTGATTGTCTCCAACTTTAATTCAGTTGTTCTGACAGTTCAGCCCAAAATGATTCATACTTCTTTCAAATTTGGACTTTTAGTGGGTGTTTATAGGTCTGCCACTACGGTCAATTATTCTGTCAACTATTTTACTAATTAATATTTGATTTTCTTCCAAAAAAAGAACAATGACCATTTCATTTAAGTTCAAACGATGAACTGTATGTCATTTCAAATAGATATTAAACCAAGAGTGACACGGTGAATATTTTACAAGCACAGGTCAGCTACAGCAGCTCCTTTTCTTGTTGCTGTGTCATGGTTGTCTGACTTTGGTGGTAATTTAACATTTTATGAAAATACACCCAAATCCGCAGCACAGTTGCTTTTAACCTGTGTGTGTGGTGAATCAGTCAGATTACATTGTCATAGACTGCTGGTTAATATGCAGTCTTAAGCTGTGTCTCAGTCACTATTTAGTACTCGTTTTGTTGTCTTACAACAGAAACTGAAAAAAGTGCAGATGAGAAAGTCTCATGATTTCTCTTCAGGGACTTATTTCCAGTGCTAGTGCTGCTGTGATCTGGTCTTATAAGTGCTCACCAACTTTTTGCCAGTTTCCCCTATAATTTTGGACGATTCTTCTTTTGAGACGATCTCCAGGTATTTAAGGCTGGAATGCTTCCTCGCCATCACTCTGGTCTTCAGTTCCTTTCACAGATTCTTGAGGGGATTCAGGTCTGGACTCTGGCTGGTCCAAAATGCTAATATTGTTTTCTGTTTCATTTGACCATTTCTTGATCTACGTGTTCTCGGCAGTTGACTTGTTGGAACGTTCAGTGCTGCCCAAGGCCAAGTTCTGTTGCAGAAAGCCTGACGTTCTCCTCCACTGTCTTAATGAGGACCTCTTTTCTCATGATGCCATTTAGGTTGCCTTCCACATTGGCTTGTGGTTAAATGTTTCTCCTTTCTTTTGTGAATAAATCTATTTGAATTTATTTTTCGATCTTTCAACTACAGAATTGATGACTAAATAGTTTCTTCCTTGTCCAGGTGAGCTTTTGTGTGATTTGTAGCAGTGGAGTACTCCTCCTTTGGCAAAACCAACCGTGTTTGTTGTCTGCTGGAAAGTCTGCTTGTAGATGTTGGTACCAGAATTGCTCGACTTCATCAGGATGGGCTTGAGGTTGATGCTTGGGTTTATTCTTGGCCTCTTGCGCTACCATTCTTGCCAGCACAGGAGTCACGTTTTGGCTTCCTACCACACTCTGTGAGATGTTTTACAGTGTGTGCTTCTTGAGTATTCTTTGTGCTGTGGCCAGTGGCACTTGAAAACCCTTAAGTCTGGCATTACAGCCTTTCCCTGTCTTGTGAGCAGACATAATGCGCCATTGGAGGTCCTCACTAAGCTCTTTGGTTGTAGTTAGTGATTGACTAGAGAACTACTACGAAAGCAGTTCTTGATTTGTATTGTATTGGAATGCACTAGAACATGGTAGAAATCCCCAGGACATTTCGGTATAGGGGCTGCATTTGTTTCTCAAAATTTGCGACAATCTGAAGTGTTATGATTAACTTTAAAACCGTTGATCAAATAAACATTTACTATGAACTAACCAACCTGATATCACAGACAGACGGCTCGTGTCCAACTCATGACTGGCCACTACGTGATGATATGACAAGGCTAACTTGACAGTCTAGCATGGGAGGAATCAAGGCGATAGAATAAATCTACTTATGTGGTCAACCTGGCTAAATGAGGACATGTGACCCTGTTAGGCCTGCCCTACCCATGAGCCTCAAATATGTCACAGCGTGGACTACTCAGCGCTTAACGCCCAGGAGGAGCTTATCTGCACACTGTTAATTCTCTCCTGTCCCGACCAGATCAAGGCTGCCGGGTATCCCGCCTCCCACCTCCCAATTTTTGCGAAATTTTGACAATGGAGCTGGTATTTCGGTTACTCCTGGTAGTAATAGCCATCCTATGAATTAACCGTGTTGTGATAGTTAGAATGCGCTGGTGTTAGCAGGTCTTTTTCTACCACTGTGCTCCAGATACACCTTCCAGTTTAAACAGACCAGCTACCATTTAATGGCATTTCACAAGTCCATTTAGCTCCTGCAGTCACGTATCTGTGATTGCATGCATGTTAGTGTAATTAGTGTCATGTAAGGAGGTCTCATGAATATTGTTCGGTGACGGGTTTCAGCATGCCTGTGAATATTCATGAGGCCCATCAAGCCTTTTGATGGCGTGGTGTGCCGTGCCAGTGACACGAAATCTACATTGTTCGAATTATTGCATGCAGATCGTGGACACTCATCCGTGCCATGTGGATACCACCCACCTACAAAATGATGCATTTTATGTGTTTACTGCTGTTGTTGCATTATTCTGGGTTAGACTGATAAGATAATTTTAACAACTGAAGTATCATCAGAAGCAACACCACAGCCACAGATAACACAATAATCACCAAGAGTTGATGGATGTAAATGTGTTAGATTTACTAGTTAAAGTGATTTTTCATTATATTTTTATTTATAACGCTAGCACACTGTGATTAATCACATATGACAATGACAAGATGAAAACATTTTTAAAATTGTTTGAATTTAACAATATTACAGCCTTGGTTTTACATTTTTAAGTGACTGAAGTAGGGTTAGTCTACTTTGTAATCATAAAAACAAATGACATTTTGAGTCGACTTAATGGTTCCTACACAAATTTCACTTGTGCTAGTTCCAGTAAACACTGTCCTCCAAACACGTCCTGTATATCTACCAGAGCCTCTCTTTCTCTCTGTGTCTATAATCATGTGAGTTGCATGCATGCATGTTTTCCAGTTTACTAATGCATTCGTCCTATTAAGTCACGTTTCTGTCAATATTCTCAGTTCCCCTAATAGCCTGAATGACAGACAGTGTGTAAATGGCTGCGTTTACATGCATACCAGCATCTATATTACATGGTATTTACATGCATGGATGAAGAAAATGTGAAAAATAGAAAAAAATGTCGTGTTGAGTTAGAGGAAATAGGAACAACTGCCCTAGTTTCTCTGTCAACCAAATCGTTACTTGACTGAGTCCTGCAGAGGTTAAAAGCCACAAATATCTGGTAGAATTAATAATTAACTTAATAAAAACAAAAGTATTGCTGCTCTAAGCCCCCACCACCGGTTTTCAGCCTCACAGCATCTTGTGGGAATGTTGTGCTTTTGAGCTGTATTGCGTTTGTAGCTCCAGGCTCAGTCTGAGCAAGCCTTACCACTGATCATGTTTCAACCTTTTGAGAACATCTCAGAGCACTGGGCCTAATGGAAGTCACATCTTCTCCTTCTTCTCCTCTTCCTCCTCCTCCTCCTCCTCCTCGCTGCACTCCACTCCATAATCTAAATCTTTAATTCCCTCTCTGCCTGAGTCCTCTCTTCCCCAGCCCTCTCCTCTTTGGCCCTTTAACTCTGACATTTCATTGTAGGCCAACATTGTCTTCAGCTCCCATGATGCAGTCTTCCCTCTTGCAGCGTCGCCTGAGAAGGCCTGCCTGCAGATACAATGGGGGGGATTGTCTCAAATTGTCAAGACAGCAGGGGTCAGAGCGCCACTGACGTTGGCTAGCAGTAAAAGCCGGGGCCTTTCCCCACAATGCTGAACACACTTACTAGATGTATTTGTGTGGCTTTATGTATTATTATAGTTACAGTTTTCCAAACAGAGATGCTTTAGTTTACTTTTTGTGTATTGCTGAAGGAACTCATTTTTTCTTTTCCATTGAGATAAAATGTCTTTCCTTTGAGAGTATTTTTTCTTAGTTTTTCATCGTTTTCGATAAAAACGTCCCCAAAACGACACGCTCCTGCCTTTGTCAGCACCAGTCAGTTCTACAGCAGTGCCTATAGCTGCTGTGAGCACCAGTCTCTGCTCACATCCACCAACACAAGATTATAATACACAGTGTGCTCTCCTCTTGTGATGACTGTGCTTTGAATGCCCTCTAGATTTGGGCCAAGCTTTGATGAGTCAGCCTCAGGGTGAACTCTTGTCTCTGCCTCATCTGTCATGGGCATCATTACCAGGAAAATCCTAGAGACGTGAGTGCAGACAGGTGTGTGTGTATGAACATGTATGCAGGAAGGTGTATGTGTTTGGGCTGAACAGTTTGGGGAAAATATCTAATTAGTTTAGTCTAGTTTAATTTGTAGTATATTTGTTTAAAGTCAAGCTTCACCTCAATATTCACAGTGTGTTAGATTTAAAACATGAAACATTTCCACACGAGATAGCAGGAGGAAAAAGTAATGTAAAACTATTGACACGACAGTTTAAAGCTTGGGTCAGGCTTGCTGCATAATGTGCTGTAATATTAATAATTACATAATATAATGTAACTGCAGGCTTCGTTGTTCACTAAGTGCATTGTTTTGAATCATTTAATCGTGCAGCCCAGATGTGTGAGTCAGTTGTTGGTCAGATGTTGAGGGGTGACGAGGTAAATCTGACAAGCTAAACCAAATACAGGTCAGCATTCACTACAGTGATTTATCTCTGGTTCACATTTATTCAAAGTTCAGGGTTTAGTGCAGTTGCTTTGTCATTCTTTCAGTGTTTGTGTTTCTTTTATTAGCAGCACAGATGTGGTAGCTTGTGGTTAATGGGCTTTCGAGGAGGTGGGATGTTTTGGCACCACAGAAGGTCCCAGGGCAGCTCCTTTGGTACAGTACAAACTTCTGACAAGGACTAACCTTTCCAGTGAGCTGCTGAGTGTTATTCAAGAGTGTTTGTGAAATACGATGCGGGTTCCTCACAGACCTCAGCAGTTCATTTTGTTGTCGAAGCCAGCAGACGTTGGGAAACAGCAGCTGCAGTTCGCTGTGTGCTACAGTGGTTTTTAGTACCAGTCGAATTTTTTCCTGCTGATTTTCAGAGATGTACTCGGGGCTTTTTGCAAAATTAGCAAGTGCTTACTGTTACTGTGGGCCGCATTGTTCTACCACAAAGACATGGCGTTGTGTTTTGCTGTGCCCCTGATGTCCCACTGTTAGAACACGTGCATACATCAAGGTGGTGCATACCGCCAGGTTGATCCTTCCACATTCCTCACTAGTCCTTAAACACAACCTTGTAATGGGTGTGGTGGTTTTAAGTAGCAAAGGCTTTCTACAGTTGTTGACAGTGTGCTGATCACATTCCTGGTGTTTTCTAGACACCTTTCCCTTTAATCTTACTCCAGAGGAAGAGAAATGCGAAGCCACTCCCGTTTCTGACAAACCTGTTGAGGAAAGCAAACTGACGTGTAGTTTGTCTTTGCAGCTGTTGTCACGGTGAAGAATGTCCTCCCACCCTTTCCTACCAGCGAACCAGTGCAATAACTCCATGCGTATAGCACCTTTCCCATGATTACAAGTGCTCAACATAAGTGTGTACTAGATGGCAATATTTTTAAAAAGTCAGGTTATAAATCTTGTACAGAATGGCAATGCCAGTGAAAATATGTTAGCATTGGTTAAGATTTATACTGTAGAACTGGAGCTTTGGCAACAGAAAGCTGAGAAACCGACCACATTTCTATTCATATTGCCATATCAACACTAGAGTATAATAGAACATTACAGTGTTGTGCTTGATTCAGCTTATTTCTCAAAATGAAAATGTGGAGTATTGCAAACCTCCGCACCCTCGTCTCCACACAACACTATGAATGAGGATCGCTGGCTTCGTGGTTTATTGGGATCTTTAACCACACCGAGGACAAAAGGCATTGTCAGGCCACTTGAACAGAAATGTGTATTAGAGAAAATACATTATTGTTCAACATTTCAATCGTATAATGTCCAAGGTAAGATGTTATCATAACCCACTAACTTTATTTTGTGGTTTGCGTCTTCACAGAGGGAATCCCTCAGGTGTACTACTTTGGTCCTTGTGGGAAATACAACGCCATGGTGCTGGAGCTGCTCGGGCCCAGTCTAGAGGACCTGTTTGACCTCTGTGACCGCACCTTTTCCCTCAAGACGGTCCTCATGATAGCCATACAGCTGGTAAGGCCCGGGAGAGGAGAGCAGCAGGCGTATATTTAGATGAACTTGCTTCTGTGATTTTAAGCTTTGAAGAAAATCGAGAGCAGCTTTGAGTAGGTTTTCTTTAGTAGGAAAAGGGATGCTCAGGTGTCATCAGGGGCTTGTTCCAGAAAGCAGGTTCAACAGCCTCTAAACCTGATCAAGAACTCGGACTTTACAAACCTTAAGATGGGAAACTATTTGGCTTCAGTACAGCTAAACAGAATGAGTGCATGTTCATTCTGAGTGAAGTCCATAGATGAGGAACAGAAGAAAAAATCATTATCAATGGAGCTCTGATACGAAGATTCCCCATGACAAAAGTTAAATATAAACATAGCCTCTATTTTAATCCCATGGAGCCAGAAATATTAGTTTAAGACAGTGCACATTTATTTTTCAGACCCTGCAGCAGAGGAGAACATTTAATAAGTTAACACTGTTGTATTTGTATGCAGCATATACAGCAGCCAGTCATTACTTTGTAGGCTTACAGCATTATTTATCTGTAACCTGAAAACAGCAGGTGTAGATGGAAAACATAGATCAGACAGAAAGGACATTAGTTTATTTATAGATTTGTGATTGTACCCTCAAAGTCAGACCCAGTGATAATGATTTTGTTGATTTTCATTTGCCTTGAGGTGAAAACAGACGGAACATTTTTAGACTTTTTATTCAAGTATCTTGCACAGTGGCATTTAATGTCTTTTAAAGTGTAGTAAATGTAAACATAGTAAATATTATAATTTGTAAACAGTCACTGAACAATAATCCTCTCTCCTGAATCTTAACGTAGTCTCATGTAGTATATGATAACTGTGATGAGACGGTCGTCAGCAGAGACGATCACATGAGAAATGATTTTTCATCATTCTGTGTTTATAAACCTTTGATTTACAGTGATTAGAGTAATCTGTGCTCAGTGCACCAAAGCAGGGGAACAGACTGACAACAGTTGTCTTCATGTCCGCAGAGTCACGGTAACATGGAGACAGAAAGTGTATAGATTATATTCTGAGGTGAGGATGGAGGTCGCTGTTCTTACTTTGGTGACATCGATGGCCTTCACAAAAACATTCACAGTAAAGACAGGCTTTGAGCAACAAATGAACATCCAAACTGGATTTTTATGTTCTCCCGATGAACGCACCAGTTTCTGTGCTGTGATATTGACTGGAGGACCTGAAATAGTGTTTGCAGAAAACGCCTTGAGGCTCAACAGGAAGGGAGGAAAACAGAGTAACTCAAGGTTTGATGAAGTAAACCTGCCATCAAGCTGGTTACCTTCATAGAGTAAATTACCATGGTAACAGACCCAGTGGACGAGAAACCCAAAGTTTCTCTCCAACTCAAAAGTTGTCACTAAACCAGCTTTCTGGAACACACTCCGGTACCGTGGGTTTTGGGGATCACAGAAGTAAACAAACACACAAATGTGCAAAAAGTTTACATTCTTTCCAGCATTTTTTCCAGCAAATATACTTCAGTAGTTTTGTATAAACGCCTTAGTTTGGAAGTAATCAAAAAATAGATTTATACTGTAGTTGAAAGTGATGTTATAGTGATGTTTCTGTTAAAATCTTGCTGTGTGAATCTTGTTTTACACGGAGCGCTGTGGTCACGGTGCTTTGAATCTTCATGTTTGCGATTGAATTGTTGAGCGATTGAAATTTCAAACACTAACGTCTATCTACTGTCTGCTCGTATAGATAACACGGATGGAGTACGTCCACACCAAGAGTCTGATCTACAGAGATGTGAAGCCAGAGAACTTTCTTGTCGGGCGGCCAGGAAGCAAGAGGCAACACACAATCCACATCATTGACTTTGGTCTGGCCAAAGAATACATAGACCCCGAGACCAAAAAACACATCCCATACCGGGAGCACAAGAGTCTGACTGGGACAGCGCGCTACATGAGCATTAACACACACCTGGGAAAGGGTAAGGACGTCTCCGGGTCAGGCCTGTGGTTCGAGTAGCCTTTGTATTTGCATAGGCGAGTGTTGTTTGCATTTATGTCAGTTAAACGGAGATGTCTTAACTGATTTACATACAAATAGAAACACTAACATGTACACAAATACTGACGTGTACACAAAAATCTTTATCCTGGTTTTACATACGGTCATCTGTTTAACTAGTCGCGGTACCTGTTGGTGTTTTATGACGTCACCAGTGATACTTTAGCTTGTTGCCTTCTTTCACTAAGGAATACTCTGATGTATAGCTCCATTTTTAGGTGATTCTGAAGCATCTCCTCTTTATTCTGGTGTTCGCCCATGGAGAGCCGACAGTCTGCACATTTTAATTCTAGCCAATCACCTCGGCTGGTGATTCCACTGATTAGATCTTCCCCCTCTGCTCTAAAGGGGTGCTAATCAGTAGGTGGAGTGTTTGGTTGGAATGAAAACGGAGACTGTTGGTTCTTGATGACGTACGATTGGTCACCCCTGCTCTAAGGCTTAATTATGGCCTCTTACACTGTACATTGTTAATTTAAACTCCAGCATAACTGTAGGATGGTGCTATAATTCTTTCTAGCCAGCTGCCTGTTACTCTTGCCAGATGCTTATAAAATGAATCAGTTTCTTACAGCTAACCTAATTCTTGTCTTGCTCTTTTAATTCCAGAGCAAAGCAGAAGGGATGATTTGGAGGCGCTGGGTCACATGTTCATGTACTTCCTCCGAGGCAGCCTCCCCTGGCAGGGCCTAAAGGTACTGTCGTGTATTATTTGATATTATCCACATGTTGGCACTTGCTAATATACATCAGACTCCTGTAATCCTCTTAATGCTCAGCATACCTTTTCCTATTGCAATCCAAAGTACAGTATCTCTTTCATAGCTATCATCTACATGACCTCAGGGACAGAGAACATGGTGTTTATAACAGCACCCCCTGACACTGACGGTGACATTTCAAGGTCTTCTCATTGATCTTTCTGTTTTAGTAGTTGAACCCGAAAGACTCATAAGTGCCCTGAGTCTCAGTCGCACACAGAAACTAGTCATACCTCTTAAATATCATTTTTAAATAGCTGCTTTTGCATTAAACAAGCCTAATATCACCTGAAGTCATCATCAGCAACGGTGAGGCTGCAGATATAAATGACAGGGCAGAGGCAACATGAAGCAGCACGCCATCTTTGCTGTCATGTGTGCTCTAGTCTTAATCGTGACACCTTGGAGTTCATGATTGTTTTTTGTGGAGATGTAAAGTTTTTTGTTTTGTTTATTTATGATTATCTTTTGTTAAGCACCTGACACAAAGCGTTGCCAGCAGCCACTTACCAACAGGCTGCCATATGTCATTAAATCTGTTTATTTGTATTACATAACAGTCTCCGAATCTATTTTTTTTACTTGAAAAATCAGGAAATATGGCTCCTACCTCACAGGTCAGTCTCTTGTGTAGTGCAGCAGAGGGTACAGCGAACCCAAACCCAAAGTTTTAAACTCCTTTTAGCTCTTTACAACTTTTAAAGACATTTTAAAGGACATTTTACTAATTATTTGCTCTGACATCATAAACACACCCAAGATACAAGGACAGTGGTACATGGCATACACAATTTTAATATTTTTCTGTAGATTTATGCTTCAACTTCTTTTCATTTGTCCATTTGCTGCTACAGAAATAACCACATGCAACAGAAAGTCAACTTCCACTGTTTCTTTATGTGTGAACAGTTTAGAAAAAGCACTTTAAAGGACTAGAAAACAGAGACACATTAGCCGCAGGGGTGGCTGGCACCTGGAGGGCAGGTTACAGCAGACCTATATTTTAAAGATGTACACAGAATAAACTAGAAGACACCTCATCTGAACATTTGCTATGTGGGTGGAAGCTCTTGGTAGATGAATGTGAGGGATGTATAAATGTGGGGGATGCCGGATGGCTCAGGCCAAAACAATCGCTCACCAACACGCAACATTAGAGATAGCATTAAAATACAATGACGTAATGGAGTTTCAGTTCTGGGACTTACACAGAGTTGTACTCCCACCTGCATGGAGTTTAACAGTCTGTAATGGCAGAGCAGCAGGTTAAGATTCATCAGCTGATGAGAGAAAGACATTTTTGTTTGCTCAAATGAATCGAGGTTAGAAGTTAATAGAAGTAGATCAAAACAATACCAGGAAACAGTCCATCATGTGTTGATATAATGCAGGGGTGTCCAATCCTGGTCCTCGAGGGCCACAGTCCTGCATGTTTTAGATGTTTCTCTCTTCCATCACACCTGATTCAAATGATCAGCTCATCATCAAGCTCTGCAGAAGCCTGATAACGATCCTGATCATTTGAATCAGGTGCATTGGAAGAGGGAAGCATCTAAAACGTGCAGGACTGTGGCCCTCGAGGACCAGGATTGGACACCCTGATATAATGGTACTTAGCAGTTTGAAAGCGTTTTAGAGGCAGATCGTAGTTCTGTTAATACCTTTAGCTTGGTTTGGCTAACAACCATTCAGGTCACATGAGCCGACGTCACCATCCGCGACCATAAACACGTTTCTCTTTGTGCAGAGTACGGACGCTTACACAGCTTTGAAACGTGCATATCACAAATCCTTTTGTGTTACTGCCACGGCTTGTGGCAATGATCTATCAAACTTGCTTTTGTGGTTTAACAATGCAGTGAACAACCTTTCCTAAATATAAAAGGCTGTGACAGGTTCACACCAACACTGCAGCACTCTACATATCTACGTAATGACTCAGGAATTCAGATGACTAACCACAGATTTGCATGTCTGCAGCAGAGCGCTGAGGATGAAACACATTTGAATATAACGCCTATTCATTTAGACCACACATAGCGATGTATTGGCTCAAGTTTAAACTATAATTGTAATGTCCTGTGACTTTTTGTCCCTTCTAGGCTGACACTTTAAAGGAGAGGTACCAGAAAATTGGAGACACCAAACGAGCAACACCGATTGAAGTGCTTTGTGAAAGCTTCCCTGGTCAGTAGAACCGACTTGTCTCCTTTTCGGTGTGGTGTTTCATTTCCTTCTTGTTTAGAATCGGTTTGTTTTCATTTGACAGTGTGTTCTCTTTTGTTACAGAAGAGATGGCCACCTACCTGCGCTATGTGAGGAGGCTGGACTTCTTTGAGAAGCCTGATTACGATTACTTGAGGAAGCTCTTCACCGATCTGTTCGACAGGAACGGCTATGTCTTTGACTATGAATACGATTGGGTTGGCAAATCCCTTGTGAGTGCCTCTTACTGAATCCGCTTTCCCTCTAAAATCATGTGTTTGGACATCAAGTCTTACGGCTGCAGCTGTTTTAATGTTCTCAGTGTGACCATTTGTCATTAAATTTAAAATGATGAATTATTAAACACTGTTCCTAAAACTGCCCTCATTGTGACCCATCAATGGACCTCCTTAGTTTCTACTTCTTTTATCTGATCTTCATCTTGACACTCAGGTTGTTTTCTTGTTTTGCTCAGCCCACACCGATAGGCCCTATCCCCAGTGACACGCCCCTGCAGCCCAGCAGCAGAGACAAAGCACAACAGCAGACCAAAAACCAGGTGAGGTTATCAGCTTAAAGCTCAACAAACAACACACCCAGCTAGCAATCTGCCAGCTCGACTGACTGACCAGCCAACCAACCCTGTCATTCAAGTTCCTCTGCCAGGCTGCTCTTGTTGTGTCCGACTGTAAGCAACTTCCTGGAGAAAATGGCTGCTGTTCAGTTCCACTTCTCCTTCATTCCTGTTCCTGTCTGAAGTGTGACTGGTTGACAGTGACGTCAGCTTTCCTCAAAATCCTTATCAGGCAATAAGATTTAAAATATACAAAAAAAAGGAAAAACAAGCGAATTCAATGACAGTCATGAGGGAGACCCTTCTGCTCCAGCTGTGAAACAAAGCACCGTTTTTGGCTTCCAGTAATTTTCACACCTTGCCACTCTAAGCTCCAGTCATTGCATGCATGAGGTGAAAATGCAAATTGCATTGTTCATACCAGTAATGACCAGCTACACGCTTAGTGTGTGACAAAGTGTAGACTCTGTGTTTTCGTTTTAATGGCATGCTGTCCGAGCCTTGTCCTGTTAGTTTTAAAAATAGGCCGATAATTTATGAGTTTTATTACATAAAAACATCCATAAAACATCCCTGATAGACGGAAATAATGGTCCAAATCATGTTGTTGTACTTGATGAGTCTGACTCATCGTTTCCAGTAACGCCATACAGGGAGTGCATTCGATTTTATGATTGACTTATTACTGTGGACTCTAGCCTCTTTTTACTGCTCTCCATTTAACGTGATTGGCTTAGTAACAACTTGCCACCTTTTAAAGCTCTCAAAGCACCACCCTCTGTACCATGTACATTGTTCACGACTGTAAAAGCCTGTAACGTCCTGGTTAATTCAGTCAGCCGTATCACAAGTCAGCACCTGTTATCGGTTCCTATATCTGCAGGTGATAGTAGTCGGTGAAGAGAGAAGGAAGGAGAGTCCATCTTTCAGCCTGTAAATTAAAGTACGATGCTAGAAACCTGTGATGATGTTTCCTGTTCTCTAAAACGAGTCCTCAGTTGAAGTTCAGAAAGTTGTTGCTACCGATGCCACAGATGGTTTGTCTGTGATAGCCGAGGTGACCAAGGCTGTTTTCTTTTACTCCTGCATGACTTTATTAGTGTGTTGATCTGTGCTTCACATAAATTTTTGCTTCCCTCTACTCCTCTATTAACATAGTTTGTCTTAACAAGCCTGCTTCTGCTTGGGAGATGTCTTCTATAATTTTTTTTGTTTTTGTTTCTTTTTTTTTTTGTTTTGTTTTTTTGTATTCACTCCCCCTCCTCCTCCTTGTCACTCCTCCTCCCACACCCTTCCCCTCACCCCCTTCCACCACCACCACCACCACCACCACATTGCCTCTCCCTCACCCCTGACCCGTCACCCCACAACCCCCTTCCCCCTTCCCCTCCCTTCACCACCACCTGCCTCAACCCTTTTTGCTCTTTGCGTCAAGTCGCCTGAGCCCAAAGGAAGTGAGTCTCAGCCCACTCCCGTGACCAATAAGGAGACTCTGGGGTCGCACCTCACGGCTGAGCGGCTCGGGGGCTCTGTTCAGGTACTGCTGCTGCTGCTACTGCTGCTCTGATGGCTAAACGCATGAAGCCACGTAGTGTCGTGTGTGTCTGACCTCCCCTGTCGCTGATCTCCACACTGCCTGCCCGTGAAATGCTCGACTCTGTGTGTTTGCATCAGACTGTATGAATCCCTGTGTGTCAGTGCTTTGCCTGTCGCTCTCGCTGCTGGATTCGTCTCATTTGCTTCTAGGCGGCGTCGCAGTAAAGACCATGCAAAGATGACATCCAGCAGTATGCAAATCTCAGTATAATAGGAGAACACAAATTAAACGGCCGTAGTAGAATTAGGAAAATGAAAACGCAAGAGCGATCCAAACCCTAAACTGAAATGTTTCCATAACTTTCTGTGTATGTGTACGTTATGTAAAGGGGCAGAAATCAAAGGTCTTCATAGTAAATGTGGCACAAATACGCCACCCAGTGTTGGCTAATGGAATTGCAGCTTTTAAAGGACAGGCTCACTTTTTTTGACATGCAAAATTAAAACAGGTTTTTCTTGCCATTGCTGTTACTCTTGTTCATACTGGCCTTCAATAGATGCTTTTCTGATGCATTTACAGTGAGAGTCTCAGGAGATGAAATCTTAGTTATTTAAATGTAGTTTCTATCGTCCAAGTGCTTTCAGTCTGAAGCGACCTTTTCCATACGAAGGTGTGTTGAAGGGTCGGCAACACAGAGAAGGAAGGTTGTAGTAAAAAAAAAACCCTGCAACTTTAAACTTGGGAAAGGCTTCCTCAGCTGCTAGAATGAACAGGAAGAATCACCATAGCAACCAAGCCTTTATCAATGGTCATATAGGCACCTGACATGAAAATGTGCAACCCTATCCTTTAAAGTTCTGTGAAGTTGCTTTAGTTGGCTCATTCTCGGTTACCTGCTTCACTGCTCTCCCTGTCAGAGGGGGCTGATGACTTGAGATATTTGAATGTGAATGATTGTCTGCAGCCTGCAAGCAGCGGCTCAGAGTGTCAGTGTGTGAGCAGTCTGCTGTCCTTCTGTACCGATGCAGGTGATGAGCTCAACGAACGGCGAGCTGAACACTGATGACCCCACAGCCGGACACTCCAACGCTCCCATCACTGCTCCCACCGAGGTTGAAGTGGCCGACGAAACCAAGTACGAAACAGCTGCGCACAGAAAACATCTGGTTGTCTTTTCCACTGCCGCTCGCTGTCTGGTTGGGGGATAGTAGCCAGTCCAAACTCAGCACTGACACCAAAGCAAAATCTGTTTTCATCCCTTTATGATTCTCATATTCATTCTCATGTCTGCTGATCTACCACGTTGGAGGAACTGGTATAGCCTGCTTGCTTTGACATATTCTTTCCTTAGAAATGATAATTGGCTGAGTACACACAGTCATTTGAAAGGAGCACTTGAACCAGTCGGCAGACGGGAATTCCCAGTAACTAGCTGCGGTTCATTTAGCCTGCAGCAAGAAGCGTTTGTGAAGAGCTGCATGTGGGAAACCTCCGACTTTGATCAGAACATTACTGACATTCAGAAACCAGGTTACACAGGTAATGTGAAAACTCTGACACGCGCTACAGTAGCCTGGATATTAGCATGTAGCGGAGGACTATTTAACAATACCTCATGTTGGCAGTGGGATGCAAACTGTAAACTTTGTCTTCATCGATTGTCGGCCTCATAATAAGTCAACAATCGATTAGTTATAGAGGATGAAGAACCATTTCTATTTTTTCATGTACTGTTATAGGGATTTTTAATCATGATGTTCACACAAAACGGCCTCATCTTCATTAGCATCTTGGCTACAGGGATGCCATCCTGGACAATGCCTTCATGGTGACCCGCTGCTAACAGAACCCCCCACAGGGCTCTGGTCCACACAATCAGAATTCAATCACAACTGAAATAACAATCACAAAACTACTCATCGACCAACTTTCTGTGCAACCACCTCTTCACATCGCTGCAGCATTAAACGCAGCAAACAAGCTGCAACCCTTCATTTTATTGATCACTAAGTGGCTCCACCTGGTGACACAAACTGGTACTACAGCTACAATACATTTTTTGATATGCGTGACCTCCTCCTCCTGCCTTATCAGTTAATATATTTTTAATTGCTTAGTTTATTAACAGCAGTCGATCAGCTACACCTCTGGATGGAAGCGTTACTAAGGTGGCCTTATTTGCATTTGTGTTTTAGTCTGACTTTGAGCAAAATGATTAAATAAGACTGTAATGACAGTTTTTCCCTGCCCTGTAATTGCCGTTACTGCATAGGTGGAGCAGAGTGAACCGACGCAGATCAAAAAACAGAATCTCTAGTCCTTATATTTGCCATTAACAGATGTTTATTCGATGACATACCTACAACGACCATACAGCGGTTTTCCTGCTGTGAATCTGGTATCTGTGCAGGCTTGATGCTGGTCTGGTGAGAACTGGTGGCTCTCCCCCTACCTGTGCCCTCCTCTTCCTGTCA